CCATAAGAATACATTTTTTATATATAAAATATATTTTAGAAACTTAAGAGGTGTTAATGGGCAGCAAGTTGCAGTTACAAAAAATTTTTTCTGGCTATTCTCAGTGTTCAATTTGTATGGAATGATATATGAGATCATTATATTTACTTACATTTGAGCATTTGTGACTCACTTGTGGAAAACTGAAATTTCAAGTGACTGAAAGACTGTGAAGAGAGTAGTTCAAAGGATGAAAAAAATATCAAGAGTTGGTTAGTGAACTAAAAGAAAGGTGAGGAGTAAGGACCCTGACATCGACAGTGGGGCAGAAGAGATCTTGACAAAGCTAGAAAGCTAAGGCATAGGGATACCTTCAATAATTAAAAGTGTAACAAGGAAACAGCAGAAGTAATAAACTTTTATTTAAATAGGGAATAAGAGAGAGGCATATATACTGGAACAAAATGTTTCATAAATGTAAGTCATCCACTACCAACCTCTCATGGAATGACGAAGATAGTGGGAGACAAAGGGAGGAAACGCAAGAGTTGAAGTGAATAAGGATAAATGCTGTAAACTGATGGTACATGGAGGGGACTGCAATCATTGTAATGAAATGACGTATATGATTTGTTGAATATGAAACTGGTAATAGGCTCTATAAACCTTCACTCAATTCTAAGTAAAAAGTTGAAATAAATAAATCATTCTCTTCATCAAATAATAGATGAATTGGTAGATATTATTTTTGTTCTTGTAAGCACTCCCAAAAAATGAAAACCTTGGCTATGCACACATAAACATACACATGGATTCTGTGTGTTCTCATGTACAAACACACAGGCAACCATATATATATTTTAAAGCATTTTTTTTTCAATGAAACTGAACTGTTTGAATCTTACCACATTTAATTCACATTGATTAACAAAAGTAACATATTTTTCATGTTTAATTGGGCTGTTTATTAAGAAGTTTTTATTGTTTTGTACATATTCAGTGTAATAATAGCTATGATATTCCTATTCATTGTATGGAAATGAAATATGATGAATTCTAACATGAGTAAGCAAATCAGATTTTAATACCTTTCAACTCAAAAGTAATTGTAATTTGTGATTTTTTTCAACCAAATATGCATCCAGCATACCAAATTCAACCAAACCCACTGTCTTCGAGTCTATTCCATTTCATAGTGTACATCTGGCACAGATAACCCAAATTATTACAATTCAAGATTCTAGGAACAGAAAGACTTTTATTTTACTGAGTCAAGGATACTGCAGCTTCTCAAAATTATATTGTTATCCAGAGTTCCTTATTACACAGAAAAGGAAAACAACAACAACAAAAACTACCAAAGGTAGAGATGAAAACAATATAGGGTTAAAAACAGTTCTAGGAATAACACTTATGTTTTAAAATGTGGAGACTAAGTTTTAGGAAACAATTTCCTATTGTTACATGAGAGTCATAAATCCATTTTATAATTCCTTTCAAGTAAGTCTGTGTAAAATATGTGATTATCTCAAATAAAGTACGGTCTGTTCTGATTTGGTTCTGTTATTTTTTTTCTCATTTTGAAATCCAATTAGATTTTTATTCCTAGTAAATTTGGCATCTTCTATTCAGTAACCACTATATTGTATTAGAAAGGAGGTTTGAGATTTGAATTCCTTGCAAAATAATCTAAGTAATTAGATTTGTTCTCTCTTTCTCTCTCTTTTTTTTTTTTTTTCCAAATCTGGCACAGATATTCAGTTGATTTACAAAAAAGTTTCATTCTTCTGCCTAAAACTCAAGACAGAATTGTTTCATAAAAATTAACATAAAGACAACAATGTTATTTTATTAAAACCAAGGTATGTGCAATTCATTTATAGAATGGAGTAAAGAAAGCAGAAGTTTAATTTCTAGATCAAAGTAAGGGATGTCCCAATTTAACATGTTTCACTTCAGAACCCTATTAAGCTCTTATACCCACTTCAAGAAAAGACCAACTGGAACCCATTTTAAGAAAAACAGCAAGTATAAACTGGTCTTCTAATATCTTATCTAAGGGGAATTATTTAAGAGACCAAAAGAAAAGCAAAAATATACAATAATTCAAAGGTATTTGAAGAGGTATAATGTGGAAGATGTAGAATTGTGTTGTTTTTTTTTAAAGCTAGAAAGAGCATGTGATGATTTTAGGAAAAACAAACCATATCATTAACAGAAAGGGATGAGACTTAATAGTCTAGGTTCTTCATCAGATTGCCTAGGCTTTGCTTATGGCTCAACTATATAATTTTTAGGAGTCCTGGTATAGTGCTGTGGGTTAAAGCACTGGACTGCAAGGTTGCTTTGGACCTCAATGCTCCTCCTGAGAAACCCTATACAGAGTCACTATGAGTCCGGACTGAATCAATGGTACTTAGCAACAATAACACATATGCTTTTTATTTGCATGCCTTTAAGTTTTACTCCATTAGCATGCCAGTTTTTAAAACTGTCTCTCATCTCCTTTGCCCAAACTACTATAATTTGCCTTGTGATACTGGGACTGGGATTCTGTACACCTCTTTTGAATCCTTGAAATCTGTTCAGGGGACTTGCAAGGACAAAATGATATTCATAATGATACTAAGATATTAGTTTCCTTTTTCACATTCATTTTCTTATGAGTGTACAGTGGAGTCTTCTAGAAGCTACATGACATGTATTTTATAGCACCAGATGAAACAACTAAGCAGATACGAATAGATATGCGTATCCATCTGTCTCCTAGGAAGCCATGCATTACATAATTTGGTAACAATGTAAAATAATGTCATTCTTTTCACTTCTTTTTTGTTTTAGAAAATTATTTATTAACATGTAATGGTTTGATTATTGCTATTTTATAAAATCTCAACTTTAATATGATACATATCAATACGTACTACCCATATAAACTATAGCTTTATGGAGTCTTAGATAATTTTTAAGCGTCTAAAAAAGTGCAGATACCAAAGAGTTTGAGAAATGCTTTTGGTGACATCATTTTTCTGTTGCTAGCTAGGTTCCTATTAGGTTCATTGTTGTTAGTGCCAAGGAGTTGGAAACAGAAAGCTTCTTCAGCAAGCAGCTGGTAGACTGAAAACCCTTCCTTGGGTTTAGCAGTCCAGTGTTTATCCTACAAAGCCACCACACTGCTAGGTTCAGATTGTTGTTGTTAAGTGCCTCAAGTCAGTTCAGTATCATAGCCCAAGGAGAAACTTGCTCTTGTTAAGTGCCATGGAGTTGGTTCCAACAAATAAGGACCCTGTATAGGATATCTGAGGAATGGCTGGTGAGTTCGAACTGCTGACGTTGCAGTTCAATTAGATCTTGCAGTGTAGTGCTTAGTCTACAGCGTGACACTAAGACTCCAAAGAGTGACTGATGAGCACTAAAAGCAGAATGAAAAACAAAAGAAAGGAGAAGGAACTTGTTTCTGTTTGGTTATACGCTTTTCTGGTACTCTTTCCAACAGTTCACTCCCATAGCGAATGGCTCTAATAAAATAGTTTCTACTGTTGTTGTTGTTAAGTGCCATTGAGTTGGTTCCAACCCATAGCGACCCTGTATAGGGTTTCTGATGGGCTTGAACTGCTAATCTTGTGGTTCAAACCGACTTTGCAGGCCAGCTCATTAACCTACAGTGTCATACCAAGACTCAAGTTACCAGCATATGCTAACAAAGGAACACTGAAGTCCTTCTATTGGCTCCAACACTGCTATGGTGATGCCCCTCATAAATGACCTAAGTTCCAGGGCTTCAGCTCTCCTTGAGCACCTCTGCTACCAAAGGCAGCCAGGAAGTACTCCCTCCACAGAAATCCTAGCTTGGACCTGCCCTGCAGCATTCTCTACTGAAAATCTGCATTCTAGCTCTAAAAGCTATTCCTTTCTCCCCTTCTGTGTTTATATTACTCCAAAGCAGGAGTGGTATATACTTCCTTTCCTTCTACCTCTGCATTGTTCAGTGTTTTTGCTTTTTCAGTCCTTGAACACTGTTTTTAACTATTTCCGATTTACATTCTCAAAAGTCCTGGTGTGGTGCTGTAGAATGAGCAAGGTTGGTGGTTTGAACCCACAAGTTGCTCCTTGGAAACCCCATGCAGGTTCGCTGTGAGTCGAAACATACTCATTGCACTTAATAACAACAGTGTAATAAAGTGTGACTTCTATTTCCCTGACTCGACATAGACTGATACAACAATCCAATGATATTGATGTGTTATGCTTAGAATGTTGCTCAGGATGTAAGAACCAGTATCTATCTCTATGCTGACAAAAACATAAGCACTAAAATCTACTAGTGGCTCCTCTGAAACCCTATACAAAGGCTCCTATGAGTCAAAACCCACTTCTCTGAACTTAGCAACAACAGAAAATTAAGTCTTTATTAAGCTTACAAATTTTAAAATGTGAAAGAACATTGGTAATCAGAACACTTGACACTATTATAACTTTTTATACAACTGTTTTGTGACTACATTTTCATTGTTGTTGTTGTTAAGTGTCATTGAGTCGGTACTTACTCATAATGACCCTTTATAGGGTTTCCAAGGTGCAGCTGGTGAGCTTGAACCACTGACCTTGAGGTTCAAAGCGAACTTTCAGTGCAGCGATTTACCCATAGTGCCACATTAGGACATTTTCATATATATTGTTTTTTTATATTTATTCAATTAAATTAAAAAGGATAACTTTCCCATCTGTGGTAAAAATATCTTTTTTAAAATAATTACCTAAAGAAAACTTACAAGATATTGGATGACATATGTACTGCTAACTGTAAGGTTGACAGTTCAAACCCACCAGCCACTACAAATTTTATTATTATAGCAGAAATATTTTAAATGATTTACACAACCTTAGTGTGATAGCATAAATCATGGAAAAAAGGCAATTTTAAGTAAATCATATTTTTTCTCATAAAGAATTTAATATTTAATTTCCATTTAAGATGTTTACAGTATATATTTTTTAAGTAAATAATTAAGCTAACTTACCGCCTGAGAGGAGAGCAGGCTTACTTTTTACCATTGGACTAGAATGAGGAAACTTGTTGCTAAATGACATGAAAAGGTGTGCGGTGAAATCTTCAGGAAGCTCAGCTTCCAGGAATGTCTTCATGAATAGCTTGAAACCTTCAAAATCTATTGACTGGAAAAAAAAATAATAAATCCAAGTTTTAAAACATATATTTTACCATGCAGCCAAGTGAGATTTTGTGCTATGTTCAAAGTCATTAGAAACAGAAATAACCTCAAATTTTATATCCAAATCTATAGAATGTTAACTACTTGAGAAACAGTTTAACACTGTCAATAAGCTAACACTGTTGGTAGACTAACACTAGTAATTGGGCATCTATGTCTTTCTTGTGGTGTAGTAGGAGGAACAGAAACTGTCAATTCATTCGTGTCCACTTCCATGGTGTCTGTATAACCTTAAAATTGTACTCTTTGAAATTTATTTTCCTTCTCTGTAAATTTGAGATAATACTCTCAATCCCACGGAATTGTGATGATCAAATCAAGTAATTAATAAGAGCACACTGATGCATGCAGCAAGAACTTCGTATAAAGGAATTCCCCATCTCCTGTCCTTGTCACTAATGATGACCATTGCATTTGAGAATTGTAAACAGTAGTTGAAATTAGAGTTTCAGCTAAAACCCTGGATAAATTGATAAAAACAAATTCTAAAGTGATGTTCTAAACTTCATAAAAACCCCAAGCCCCCCCCCCAAAAAAAAAAAAAAAAGAAGAGAGAAAAGATAAAAACTGATATAAGATGGCGGGGATAACAGTAATTGTAATAACTCAGTGCAGAAGAGAAACTAACAATTAGAGCTTTATTGTCCGATGAACTTTAAAAAAAAAAAAAAAAAAAAAATCTGTCAGGAACTGTTCACTTCACTCACTGCTGTGAGGTGAATTTATTTGGGGAGAATTTGCTGCTGTGCTAGATGTTGCCATGTTCACTTTGGGTCATAATGATTGATGCCACTTTCTAAATTCAAACATAATGAGAGGGTTTCACTGGAACTACGCAGTGAGCTTGTTCTTTTCAAGCAGATGAGGACAGTGGGTTATGGCCTGAGTCTTGCACTTTGGAAACAAAAGTAAGTGAATCATGCTATATTACCGGCATGAAGAGGCATGAATGTTTGCTAGGACACATGAGATCCTAGAGCCGAAGTCTAGTGAGGTTTTCTTGGGTGCTAGCCAATAAATTTGGAGTCCTTGTATGGTGTTGTAGGATTAGCTCTGGACTACTAACCACAAGGTTGGTGGTTCAAACCCACCAGCTGCTCCTTGAAAACTCTATACTGGGTCACTGTGAATCAGAACTTACTTAACGACACTTAACAAGAGCAACAACAACAACATTCAGGAAATTAGCTTAAGAGACCAGAAGACTAGATGAGATGTTAGAATAAACCGATATCTGTCGAGACTAAGACAGTACAAGGTAGGAGGGACTTCAGAGGAAATTCTTAAAGAAACCACTAAAGCACCTCATGTGCTGATGTTAGAGACAATGATGATGGATCATTAGGAGGATGATTAGATCTGTTTACTATTCTCTCTTCTATAGCCTGCTATAGCCCTGATGAGGTACCAAACAGAAGCCAGAAAGGTATTATAGAGGAGAGTGTGGGGAATCTATGTCTGAGTTGAGTTTGTGCTGATTCAAGTTCAAGATTTTTATTCACATCCAAAATTAGGCACACTAATTACTGAATTGTGACTCTGTTTGCTTCTTGAAGTGACCTCAAGTTTAAATTGAACAGAAAATCTATTACTGAAAACTGAGCAGAAAATCCATGAGCTTGCTGGATTTTCAGCTAAAGATGAGGAAAGAGTACACTTACTGAACAAAATATAAATGAGTCAGGGTAGTTGAAATTAGCTGTGTTTTATGCTATTTATATGGTAGTCAGACAATGAAGAAATACTCAGTATAACTAACTTAATTATTTGTGGTTGCTGTTGTTAAGTGTCATCAAGTCATTCTGACTCATAACCTCAGTATTGTTGTTATCAAGTGTCATTGAGTCAGCTTCTTCTTACGGCGACCCGACCCTGTATAGGATTTCCAAGGAGCTGACTGGTAGGTTTGAACCGCCACCTTGCGATTCAAACCAACCTTTAGCTCAAGGGCATATCCTGCAGAGCCACACCAGTACTCCTCAGTATAACTGAATTCAAATTTTCAAGACGATAATTAATTATCCAAGAAACATTTTCAAAGAGTATCATCATCATCCCCAATACCTTCACTGTTAAAATCCTTTGTCCAAAAATGTTCAAAACCTGAGGATGAAATAAAAATCCTAGCAAATTACCAACTTAATGTCACTAAGTAATAGTTTCTCTCAGCCAATAAAACATAAGCATTTTATGAAACACTGAAAAAGAACTTCGATCTTGTAATCAATCCCTTCTACTGAGCAGCAGTGATATATGAAATCTGCAGTTATCCTTGATGAATCTCAGTGGTTTATAGTTCAGTCAGTGGTGGTACTGTTGTAATTCTGCAAGTCAAACTACTTCACAGACTTACAATTTATACAGGTATACACAGTATACATGGCTCTAGAATTTGCTTCTATAACTGTACCACTGTTTAAGACTGGATAGGAAGTTATTGTCATTCGTATAAGTCTAGCTACAACCAATCTGGAAAAGTCCATCCATGACAGTCAATTCATACTTTTCCTTAGTTGATTTACTTTCATGAAGTTTTTTTACATGGTGTTTCCCAATTCTAAGCTGAATGATGATTTCGTTGCAAATCCATCTAGTATTGATCATTCATCACTTAAATATACCTGAACTAATTTTGAGGTAGCTGTTATTTAACACTGCTTACTTGAATTATTTTCATGTAATAAAACTGCATAATATCATTTCATGTGTTACTCTTTCCTATAAGGGAAAAAACAAAATCTAGAAAAGTCTATGCCTGAAAGTTTTTAGCCAAGTTAAATGTTGTTTTAAGTCCTTAAGTTGGTCAGGGTTCGGTGTGACCCTGTATAGAGTTTGCAAGGCTTTAAATTGTCCCTAGCAGAAAGCCTCATCTTTCACCTAAGGAACAATTGGCAGGCTTCAACTGTAGACTTGTGGTTCATACCCCAGTGCTTATGTGTGGAGTCATGTAATCGTGAAATTCAAACATATATTTGCATGCTGTATGATAAGCACTGAACTGCGAACCACAAGATTGGCGATTCAAACTTACCAGCCACACTTCAAAAACACTATAAGGGATCTCTATGAATCAAAGAAGTTCTGGTGTGGCAATGTAGGCTAAACACTGGGTTGCCAACCACAAGGTAGACAGCTCAAATCCACTAGCCAATCCTCAGAGAGCATATACATGCTTGTTCTGAGTGGGAACCTAGTCTATGACACTAACAGCAACATGAGTCAAAGGTACTGAACAGCAACACATATCTCCATATTTACATTTCATATATATGTATATATGCATACATACATGTAACTATACAGTCCTGTTGACTAATCTGTATGCAGACTTTTACATAATGTGTCAGTATGGACACAAGTATGTGATTGGAAGGAATATTGCTCTGTGGTTGAGCTTTGGCTTTGGTTCTAAATTCTAGGTAATTTTAGGTAAATTCCTCATCCTCAGTAAGTCTCAGTCAATATCTAATTTAAAATGAGGATAATAACATTTACCTCATTTTACTACTGAGAGGAACAAATTAGGTCATGGATATAAAGTTCTATCCACTGTGATTGGCTCTCAACATATGGTAATCCATGCAGTAAATATTTTAAAAATAGTATTACTCATCTCAAATATTATTCTAGTAATGAAACTGTATATACATAAACTAAAAGAAAATCATTTTTAAGACATGTACACAGTAATTAGGCTAGTGTTTATAAATGACAGACATTCTTATATGTATACATTATAAACATACATGTACACAGGGGCTTTAATTTAAAAGGTTTGCTGAAAATGAAATGAAAAGATTATGGAGTTTTTCCATGAACTATTTGAAGCACCCTTATATATGTGAGTTTATAAAGTGATATGTCATTTATATACCCATTTATATACTTTAGACAGAAATAGGCACAGGTTTGATAGTAATGGGCACAATTTCCTTACTCAGTTTAGTGTAACTGAAGTGAAAAAATGTAGGGAAAACCAGAGAAAGCTTAAATTTGGCAGACTGATGTACAATTTCTGAAAGGTGAGACAAAATTATTTTTATAAAATGTCATTTTAGAAGAGACAGAATCTGTTTTTCCCTTTGTAATTATATTAGCTAGTGTAATAATTGCAAGCAGTGGAGAATGACTAATTTTATTATTGTATTTATTGTAGATAAACCTAAAATAAAATATAACATACAGAGATAGCATTAAAGAAAATAATGTTATGCATTTTAGAACATAAATAAAGTAATGTGTTGTATATGGTTTTGCACCAAATAAAACCTCAATCCAATAAAAAATCTTTAATATTGTTTACTAAGGGTTCCAAGACTCTGCTAAAACCTAATCTGACAACCTGGCATCCTTAGTTAATTTATTTTTGCTTTGTCTTGTTTATTCTCAGAAAGATGCCTAAGAAATATATGTTATTGCAGTTAAAACTCATTTCCTCTCATACTTAAAAATTATCACCAAAGAATATTGAAATTCTACTATTATTGAACCACATAATGAAACACTATGAATAATATGAACATGTAAAGACTATCGTCAGGTAGAAGAATTCCTTTCAAAAAGCAATTTGCCAATATGAATAAAGCCATGGTTTTAAAATACGCAGAGATGGCTCATAGTCAAGTGGCTGAATTCAAATCAAGTTTTCTAATCAAGGGGTATTTACTCTTGTTATTGAATTACTCCACTGTCATCTGTCAGTTTGTTTTACTTTGGTGGCTTTGTGCTGTTGTGATACTGTAAGCTATGCCACTTGTATTTAAATATCATGAGTGTCACCAAAAAGTGAACAGATTTCAGCCAAATTTCCAGCATAATACTAGGACCAAGTTGAAGCAGACCACTTCTGAAAGGTCAGCCAATGAAAACCTTATGAATAGCAGAGAAACACTGTCTGATTACACGCCAGAAGATGAGCGCTTAAGGTTTGTTTTTGTTGTTATA